GAGGTGAAAAAGGTTCGTGATGATCTTCATCAGTATATATTTGGCAAATATCATGAGCACAAAGACTCCTACCAAGATGGTGTCATACGGGACCTTACGGATGCCCTCATTAAGGCTCGCCACGACGCTGAACAAGAAGACAGCAGAAACTACCGCCTCATCGATGAAGAGCATATTGCGATGACTGTGATGGATGTTTTTCTAGCAGGATTAGAAACTACAGCCACGGCTCTTCATTGGTTCATGCTGTACATGGTGAAACACCCAGAAGTGCAATCCAAAATACACGAAGAGCTTGATAGCGTTCTTGGTCCAGACGCCTTACCTCTTTGGAAGAACCGAACGCAACTTCCCTATCTGGTAGCAACTATTGATGAAACTCTCCGAAAAGCTTCCATTTCACCTCTTCTTCTCCCACACAAAGCAACAAAAGATTCGACTCTTGCAGGCTTCAACATACCAAAGGGCACATATTTGATGTTTAATGCATGGGCCATGCATCAAGATAAACAAGAGTGGATGGATCCAGATGATTTCAATCCATCGAGGTTCATCAATGACAATGGAAAARTTGACCAAAATGCCGCTTCGAAGAGCTTTCTTCCCTTTGGAATGGGGCGACGTGTGTGCGTCGGCGAAGCGCTGGCAAAGCAAGAGTTGTTTGTCATTGCGTCGAGGCTGTTGCACGAGTTTACCTTGCACAAGGCACCCGGTCCAATACCGCAAATCACCGATGATTTGACGGGTGGCACACACCAGCCACCATCTTATGAAATTTGTTTTAAGCCTCGACGACAGTAGCATTACACTAAAATCATCGGATCCATACATTTTGAAGGGGGAGGAGGCATATTCTGCTTCTCATTGTGGTCTTTAGAAATGGAGTCAAGTGAAGTTTTTTTCAAAAATTGACGCGAGCGCGCTTCCTTTTCCCGCCTTCTCAAAAGTAGCCAATCAGAATCGCGATGTACACGGACGGAYGGAAGGACAACCACAGGCAGCCCAAGCTAAGCATTTAACTAGCAGATTATATCAATATCTATAATRCATGTAAATTGAAATTTTTGAAAGAAAAAATAAGTAAAAAACATTTGTCTTACCTTATGATGTGGTCTTAGTTATGAATTAAGGCGTAATTTGCAGTTTTTCTTTGATATCTCCCCTCCTTTACTTATATTACTGAGGTCTTGGATGAGTGTAACTGGAGCGTTTCAGAAGGATAGTATGTTAAGTAATGGTCCGAGTAAGAAGCAGGCAAGCAAACGGCAATGRAATGCATGAAGGTGCTAATTGTGTATTGTATAATCCATCCATCTYATTGGTTAAAACATTAAAATTTGACATAATTTCAAAAGTAATCGCATTTTTTAATAATTTATTTAATATCTGATTCTAACTTTATAAAAGCTTTCCTTAGCTTTAATATTAATAGGAATTCTATGTGGGGAACATAGCAAATTDGAAGCATCTTTTGGCTATTGTTTTGAGTGCTTATGATTGGACAAGATCTTTTAATACAAAAGAAACTTTGYWTCAAAACAGAGTTTATCCACATTTTATTTTAAAAATGTGTTACGCATAGGTTGATATATAATCAGTGTAAAAACCAAGACATTCGTAKGTGGGGAAGTTGCAATTGCTGCAGAACAATAGAAGGTTGCCTGCTTTTTGCGCGCATTGTTACTTAAGGCAAATAAGTGAGTCAGTAAAGATCAGAAGAGAGAAGAAGGAGTCGGTTATGAATACTAAGAATGAATGGAACACTGGAGTCGTGCCTAGATTGAGCATTGAACAATCATGATTTTATTAATTATTTTTTTTTATTAATTTATTTTCATCATTGTAAAGTCTTGTAACTCTATAAGTGTAAAGCGCGCGCTCTGTAACAGAGCGCGTGCACAACAATTGAAAAACAAAATCAACCAATTTGTTAACGTACAAAATACGGATTGAAAAGGCGTAATAAAGCGAAACTAGTATTCATGAAATTCCTGGGTTAGGCTTGTGAAAGACAGAGGAACAAAGGATAAACTTTGGGTGCTTGCACTACACAACATGACATCTCGATGGGTTTACCATAAAATTACCAAGTGTGTGGAAAATAATTTGTAGCTCTTTTATAACTAAGATAAAGGAAAACTCTTTGGAACGTATGTAAAAAAAACTGATAATAAAAATAATAAATAAATGAAATGAAGCAACGGTTTAGACACAGGAGCCCCAATTTCAATGCTTGCGCTTCCACAGGTAGCCCAAGCACTGGGCTTGACAGTGAAAAACGAAAAGTTCAATAAAAGTGGTAAAACTGAATAAAATTATTTCAAACTACAACATAGTGTTCTCCTTATTTTTCTCAACACCCCTGTGAAGTTTCAGCTCAATATGATAAACTTTCCCCTACTTATATATAATACAAATGTATTTATCATGGATTAAGTAACTAGCGCATAGAGTGCGCTTGTACGTTGTTGTTTTTTTTAAGTGAGTATGGTTCATTAGCGGGACGCTATTATATAAGGTAATGAGAGGATAGAATATTCATTCGCGTCCAACGATCTTCGTTGTCGCCTGTGCATTAATAAAAAATTAAACACCCCATAAAGCGTAGTCAGTTTCGATTGGGATTTTATTCACATACACGCTAACTAGAGTGAAAAGCCAACTAAAGAAGAATGAGATTCGGACTTCTAGTCTGAAAAAACGAATAGCATAACTGAAGAGGTTTCGAGTTCGGCATCATTTTTCTTGCTAGATCACAAGCACGTGGCACATGTTGAAGCACTGCACTATCTGCACACTATTAAACTAATAAGATGTTTCTTTTTGCACCAACCACTCAAGCACTTCATGTACTATAAACTGCTCATTTGTAAATTTGTTAACGAGTTTAATAAAGGCACACACGTCTATCGTGTGGACACACTCCTATAAGTCTGTGTATTTATTACATGATAAATGTTTTATATTCGGTTGAGCGGGGGAGCGAATTAGAATATAAGGGGTGTTGTGTTGTGTTCACAGGGGTGTTGAGAAAAATAAGGAGAACACTATGTTGTAGTTTGAAATMATTTTATTCAGTTTTACCACTTTTATTGAACTTTTCGTTTTTCACTGTCAAGCCCAGTGCTTGGGCTACCTGTGGCGCTTCTTGAGGGCGCAAGAGGGCGCAACCAACCCAGTGCTACTCTGCTCGCTTTTTTAGAGTAGCCCTGGGAACGAGGTTGTTGAGGGTGCGGTTCTTCTTGTCACGTGATAATATAGCGAGGAAAATTATGGTCAAGCTTGGTCAAAAGGTTGTGACATTTTTCAATGGTTAAAGTGCCCTTAACTTACTTTGTTTTGAAGGCTTGCAAAGTATATATRAGATTGCATCCAATAACTAGAATACTTTGTCAAGAAACTGAGAAAATATACAGATACTACAAAGGTGAGYACATTTTGGTTGCAGTGCCAAAAAAGACACAAGCTGCTTGCAACGAACTGACTTTTACATGTAACAGCTACAAATCACACAGAAGGTAAGCTTAAATTAAGTTACTTAACCTACTTACAATACTTAGAAATACAAAGAATAAGATCTGGATCTCTGTCATTAGTTCCGAAATGACATGTGAATTAATGATTTGCGTCAAGTTAAGTTAAGCTTACATTTGTTTGAAGAGACAAAATTCTCACGATATCTGATGATAATTATTTTTCAGACGAAAAAAATATGCACAAGTGGAAAAACAATTTATCACCTAAACATAAAAAAATCCCCTATTTTTTTAATACAGTCAAATGAAATCAGTCCCMTAGTCTCCCTAGCTAATTTCCCAACTATTACCTTACATAACTACAATAGCTGCCAGATATGCCCCCCTYCCCTMCCCTTCAATTAAGTAGGTTTTTTCCCCTTGTTTTTGCGTGACTTCAACTTTCTGAAAATGCACTAAATTCACAACCCTAATATGACAAAGTAAACCSTACTACCCCTTCTTTTCAGCAATGTTTTAAGCCCACCCCAATATAAATCAACAAAACACTAACTTCGGGGCCAACTTGTACCATGGRCATTTTTAAAGTTATTAGTCTCAAGTTTAGTATGGTTTCAGTTCCTTCCTGATACTGAAACACAACAACAAATGACAACAAACTCGAATATGTCATGAGTAATTGCTGAAATTATTCTCCTCATCAATTCTACAATGCAAATGGCCGGAAAATAAAAGGAAAGCTCCTTGGAAATGAAGACTTAGTTGGGAATGAATTCTTAAATTAATACTGTAACATCTGTAGGCACATATATTAACTGTTTTATTGAAGACAAACATTCAAAAACATCTAAACTTTACAAAATTCAGAGAGGAAAAAAATCAATGTTTTGAATAAGGYTATGAGTTAGATAACATTATTACTCTAATAAGGCTCATACTACCACAGTGTTACTACATTCTCCAAGGTAATTTAATTCATATACTGTATTTACTGAGGTTCTAACAATGTTATTGTAACAGACCAACATATTGCTGCAACCCGACCAATAAAACTCGTACATCTGTCCCTACTAATAATGATAATACTAATTTCATAAATTCTATGCATAATGGTTTATGGGTCCTGCCCACGTGGTACAATAAACTGAGATATTGTGAATTGTGCTAAATAACTAAACAATATATACAGGATAATAATAATAATAGATTAAAACTAGAGCGCTAGTCATCCATCAGTGAAACAAAACTTAGCATAGGTTGTCATGTCAAATAGCACTATTTAGTACAAAACTAGTTGATATCAATGAGGCAATAYCTTTTATAATTCCAATAATGACAACTTATCCAACAACCATTGTGTTTTCTTGTTTTTGATTTTGTTCATAAGTAAATGCCTATTGCATTTGTTATATCTTCGAAACAATTTGTAACAAATTGCACCAATAAACAATTTTAGCCAACTATTTGACAAACATAGTCAATGCTCTCATTAGGCCTGTCTACACTAGAAATTTTTGTTGYGTGTTGTAAACAGTCTGCAAATTCATGCTGATTTCCAAGTAAAATCATAGCGATTTGCACTAAATTCAGAGCATATTTGGATTTATTATGATAAACCTGCAAGCTGTTGCCGTGAAATCACTGTGAATTTGCAGGCGCTGAACATGCACAATTTTGTCTGCRACAAAATTTCAGCAAAAAATGTTGTTCACATTTCCCAACAAATTTGCTAGAGTGTAAACTAGGCTTTAGATGATAAAAAGTTTGATTTCTTTCATGGATATATGACATTCACTCTAATAGACATAAGCAAACATATAAATTAAGTTTATGTGAAATTCCTAAAATATGCTTAATTTCTTGAAAGCACATATCCCATGTCACAACCAGACTGTGACACAGGTTAAAAGATCACAAACCCTTTTTAAAGTGCTTATGAAGCAAATTTTTTTTATTTGAAAAATAGAGTCAATAGAACAAGAAAAACACAGCTGGATGCAGGCTTCAAATTTCAGAGAAAAAATAGAGTTAAAAGTCCATTATGCTAATTTAAACTGTTTTTGGTAATGAGAGTGTTCCTAAATTAAACCCTGTCAAACAGTGAAATATTGTTTTCGATAAAATAAAACATATTTTCTACAAAACAATAACGTGAAGATAAACAGACATTAAAAAAAAAAACTAAACAGACATTTTTTTTAATCCGATGAGTCAATCACTTGACATCATCAACGTTTTTTAAATCCAGTTTTCTATGAAATTTGAAGCCTGCATCAAGTGACACTAGTTTTCTCTTCATATTGATTCTATTTTCGAAATAAAAAATTCTCTTCATAAGCACTGTATTGAAAAAATGGCTTCTTTGTGTATAGACACTTCAATGACTGCATGTAAATTGCAGTACAAATAATGTTAACTGATAATACAATACTGAAAACCCATATTTGAAGTAATAACACTAAAAGCTTTTCATAAATGACTAGTAGAGAAAATCATACTATAGCCCCCTAATATGAAATCAGAATTGTAGAATATATTCCTCATCTTAAATCTTCATGTGTTTGAATTTGAACAGAAATAAAATAACATTGGACAGATATTGCATTCTGCAAACCATACAACCTGTTCATGAACCAAAATAAATATAAATAAGAATTGATTCAAAAACTTCTGAAGTTTTGACAATACAGTGCCATATATGCATAAGCACGATGGTATGCTTCATAYGATTGAATAAATTAAGAAACATTTAAAAATTAATCTAAGATTTAGGTTAGAATAGTAATATGCTCAATCCTAACTGTTGTACGAGAGAAAAAACGTCTAAACACTGAGAGCTGCTTAATATCAAAATATATCATTTCATTTTAATACTAAGAATCGGTTATTCAAAGTAAGTTGACCATTGAACTGCACATGATAAAATACCTTGAATGTCGTTATCTGTACAGTTATTATATATAATATTGTAATAGGTAAAATAGCAAATATAAAGCAAAGCGTGTCAAAATCTCTAGAACTGTATTATGAGATTCAATGTTGTCCAATAGCTACTACTTTTTTTACGTAGCAAAGTTTGTTGATGCAGTTCACTGGCATTTTATAAATATCAAAGAGTACTGATTTCAGCCTCATATTTGAGAGCTGAAATTCACTTAGCAATTTGAATTGTGCTTTAAAGGTGTATTATGGGTTGCTTTTAGAAAGCATTTTCTATTATATTTAGTTTTGAGAATTTCTATGTAATTAGAAACATTCACAATAAATTATTATATATTTGATCCCAAGAATTGACCTTTAAAAATATACATCCCTATTGCCTTAGTATTCACTTTTCACATTTTTTTTCCTTCAAAGTGTACAGATCCTTGCATATAAACGTAGTGATATTCAGAAGTAGCAATTGCATATCTTGCTTGTGTCGAACAGCATCTGTACTTGGATGAGTGTAGCCTCCTCCACAGACATTGCGATTCTCTCTGTTCTTGGGTTTCCAATCACTCATTAATAAACCCATTACAAAGGAAGCCCAAGGAGGAATATATATATATATGAAGGGTTGCCTTCAGAGGAGGCTAGCATGTATTTGGATTATCAAAAACCTGTATGCTCAAGTAGCATTGCATCAACAAACATTGTGAAAATCTTTTATAGACAAACCTAGAATCCAGGTCTAATGTGACAATATGTCTGTAAYGATGATAAAATGATGTAGAAAATCCACAGTCCTGCTAGCAAACAACTTGATAAAATTTTGAAGTTTCTTGGGCCACCAAGCTCACCACCRACTTTTGGACTTCTACGTAGCATCATGATTGTGATGGCAATAAAAGCTGCAATACAGAACAGCATGACAGAGAAACCCAAGGAACCTTCCCTTACTTTAAACTCAGTTCCATTAGCCGCATGGTATATGGCAGCTGTTGACCAGGCCAAGCCAATACCCAAGAACACATTGACAGAATTGCTTCCAGTTACATTACCAACTGAKGAATCAGCAGTTTCATCATTAATGGCAGCAACTTTACTGGCGAAGGTATCTGAAACAAAAAACACTCAATATTTTTTAAGGCCATAGACATTATATAGCCTACAACTCTAGAACTGTACTGGGTTTGTATTGCTTTTTGAAAAAGTTGTACAAGTCATGTATCTATCCAGTCAGAAGATTGATTTTCATGATAATTGTTGCCCTATAATAAGGTAGCTGCAACATTCACTCAAAAACTGAGGAGAAGCCTTCACTTGTAGTCCATGTTCTCCTATCACTTTCTCTATACTTCTAACTCTTTTAACTCTTTTAAATGCCAAAATGCTGTATTGGGGGCCTATCATACAATGTAGGTTGTTGGTTTGATTGTTTCTGCTGATTTTAGACGGCAGTTTTTGGTGTTGCGCTCATCTTTGTGGTGGTTTATGGTTGTGAAGGTATTCTCATTGGCAGAAAATTGCTGATTTTGCACTGTGAATTGTGGTTTCAATGCMCTTTWATGAATGGAKTTTTAAAGGATATCRCAAAGCTAAWCAATKTTTTTGTGGTTATTAATGAAAAAAGAGGAAAATCAGCTACTTTGTGGTATGAAAACCCCCTATCATATGCCCCGAGTGTTAACAAAACCTTGCTTGAAGAGAATAAGAGAACCCATAGAACAAGTGAAAAACAACATGTAAACTAAAATCATATCTCTGATTCTCACTTTAATGAGTAGTRCAGATGACTGCTCAAACAAAAATAAAATTTCAAATATCATCATGAGTTACCTGGAAGACTTGTTCCCAAGGCAACAAATGTAATTGCAACAACACTGTCAGAAAGACCAATGGTGCAGCCAAAGTGTGAAGCAATGTCTCCAATAAATGCTGTTAAAACACCGATCATGATAATAGATACAGTAAAGCATGCCCATCCACCCCAAATGTCAGTCGGAGGGACGAAGGCAAACAGGATCTTCCAGAAGACAGTTAAGAAGTGCATCATGTAGTCACCATAAGTTGGTGGTGATGGTTCCTCRCTTTCATCGTCATCAYCACTACCACCTACAGTTAAAGCATCTTTAAACTGTTCTCTCCATGAAGAGGTTCCGACAACTAATGCAAGATTTGCCTTGGCTAGAAGTTTGTCAACTGTGTTCTTAAATTCTTTGCTTTCAATAATTTGTACCTCAATTTTAGCAAATTCACCTAAAATACAAAAGAATATATATTTTATTATAACGCATCCTTATGTTGAAAAGTACGGTGAGTTGCATTTCATTATAATTATAATATCTTGAAACATTTTGTTAGAAATTGCAAAAAATTGCACTGATCAAACAATACAAGATGGAGGATTTCACATAAATTTGACTTTTTTATCATCCCATGACATGGAATCCCGAGTGTTCATGGATTCCAGATTGCAGGCACCTCGATCCAGGATTCCTCGGCTAATAATTTCACAAGGTTTYTAGATTCTACCATATTGGAATGCAAGACATTCTATTTTTTGTCATCAGTGGCCCATTAAAAATCAGGAAATAACATTTGCTAACATTTGGCTTACGTACTCCTCTTGTTTTATTGGATTGAGGTGAAATTTAGGTTACAAACAATTTCACAGATACATTGAATGCACTCCATAAGGTGTAGGTAAGGCATAGATAAATGCTTAGACCACTAATTAGGGACTAGGACACTGATCAACTACAAACATAAGGAGTGAAAATGCAGCTTTTTTAAAATAATTATTTTACTACTGAAAGCCATGCAAGGAATGTCATCAGATTGTTGGGACAAAAAGCTAAAGTTAGTCTTACCAAGTCTAGGTTTTCCAAGTTCTTCTATACGCTGCTTTTCAGCATCATATTCTACATCTGGTGGTGGAGGCTCTTCATGATCTTTAACAACCTCTGGTTCTCCAAGGACAACATAAAATGTCTCCTTCTTCTCGTAGTCTTCATCATCAATAATTCCAATTTCTATAACTTTACTGTGGAGAGTTGAAAAWGAAGTATATAAACAGAACTACAGAAATAAGCAACAAACTTTCTCTACAAGTAATGTTTATTATTATAATTAACATTTTTGGGCAAATAAGATCCAAATTTCTGAGTATAAAGATTCCTTGCAGTCTTAGTTTTGATAATATCACCTTTCTGCAACATGACAAAATCTTTTTAATAATAAGGTGTAAAATCTAAGAGGACTGTTAAATGATTTATCTTTTTATCTTTTTTATTCTGTTGAATAAGTTGCATGTAAATGATTAATCTTTCATCAAGAGAGTTAATTCCATGTTGTAAACAAATTGTGACCAAGCCATTTCTAAATTGAAACAATTCTTTAGCAATTTCTTTATATTCAATGACTCAAACATAATATAAATTATTCAAATAAAGACAAATGCTTTTGTAAAGCCAATTGTTTGAGACCTCTGTGTGGGGTTTTGAGCAAAAATATTAATATGTTAAATTTTCAAAATCAAAATAACAAGAATTTTAACTAATGTTTTACACCAATTAACTGTAATTCTAAAACAATRCATACACAAAATAACACTGATGTTCGAGACTTAGAAATGCTATCCTTATGCTCAGCTAGAATAGGATTTTTTTAACCCAATGATGGGGGACATGGAATAAATCTATGGTGACATCCAAATTAACTGATCAGTGCAGATGAATATTTTTCATAATTTCATAGGTTTTTATTCAAAATATATGAACCAGTCATGAAAAAAATTGAAAAGTGCATAATTTTGAGCAGATTGATGAGTTATAATATGTAGTTGATTCAAACATAATGGTTTGTCTTGAGATTAAAACATTTAAGAAGCTGAATTAGTTAAAAAAATGATTATGGAGAGTGGTTCATAGATGTTGCATCATCACTGCCAAATAAAAGGCTTAATTTGCTAGAACTATTTGTATTTTTTAATGGACATGACAGCTGAAATTCTTGCATTTGAATATCCACCTATTGTGAAATCCTTTGCATGTTTGTAATCATTTGTATTCATAAATTCACTCAGATATTTATGATAACAGTCATATGATCAAGCACAAATGACGGTTTTCCAACTCTTCCAATAAAGTAAATGTTAATATTTAAAATATCTTCAATTAGGTAAACAGAAAACCTTTAACTCTCCAAAGGCTTTTGAATTTGATAATTGTCAGATGTGTACTCAAAAAAGACATACAAAAGCATTAAATAATCAAACTGACCAATCTTTACATTACAAGAAGATGATTTTTCAAACACTATAATCTAAAAGACTGAATTTGCTTGTAAAGGGACTTGATTTGGCTAGTTTTTTTTTCAGCCACAACAGATTATAGAAAATTTGRATGTCAGTTTATCTAATAAATTATATCCATTCAAACATCTAGAATTAGTTATCTCAAACATTATTTATATGTTAATTAAGGAATTCAGTTTTACTTCTGTGTACATTGAATATTTTGAGCCAAAAACATACCAATTTGATCTAAAAACAATAATTGATTTGCAGAGGATATTAATTTGTTTGTACATGCTTCACTGAGTCAGGCTACAACTTAAATATTCTTTCATTAAGGATAATTAAGAAAATGCATTGTGTTTAACAAACATTTGTGAAAAAGAATGCTACTGCTAATTCACTATACCATTTGAAATAACACTAAATGTTGTGTTTCAAACACGTTTTTTTTCGTGGTAGCAATAATTGACATTTTGACAGAATTATCAACTGACAACCACATGTGATAGTGATATGTGATGCAAAAAGTGGTTGTTTCAGTGGTTCAAACAAACAACCAATGATATAATTGCTTGTMGYCAGTTCACCATAATATGCAAATAACATAATTCTATATCATTCTTTCCATGGACATTGAGGTCATGTTTTGTGTTTAACTGTATCTTTGACYATCTTTCTTTAATTTAAGCAAGTGTTTGCTATGTGTTGTATAATTATCAASAAAACATGCACTTAATATGATTTTTTTCTCTGCAGTAAAATTGCCATGGTTGAAGTTTCCTAAGTTCCTATGGTAAAATAGAGGTTTTTTCATGCTATCTTGATTAATGCCCATTTTAGGTTTTGAATAGCCTTCTGGGCATTCAAAAACTACTCTGTAAAGTTAGTATATAGTAAATAAATCTCTGCCGAGGCTTCATTCCTACTGAGAAAACAAACCACTTCTAATTTTAATCATRCAACACAAGTATCGTTCACTCTTGAAAAGATAGTTCTCATGGTAAAACAATAAAAGATCAATTGCAAGAGACACCAAGTTGGTCCTTTGGACTAACATACATTTGGCTGAACTAACAACACGATACGCAAGCCCCTTATTGGAATYAGCTTGTTTTTTATTGGCTTATGTCACTGAGGAGGGTTAATATTTTATTTATTTGAGGCTGGAGAGTTTTTACTTCACAAATTGTACATCAGTGTATAAGCTTATTACAAGTGGTAATTAGTCAACTTTTTAACAATTGGAATTGTTTGTGACCATTTTGTGTTTATTCTTGTTTGGGCTAAGAGTGAAATTAACATATCAATGGGAATTTACACTTCTCATTTTTAAGGGATTATGATCTTAACCTTTGGAATATTCCCAGCCCAAATCAATAATTCAGCATCTTCATTATTCATAATAGTCCACAGACTAAGGTTGAGAAATTTACATACTACAATTTTAGATATGACATCTTAAGGTGTATGCCTTGTTGAAAAAGGTTGGGTTTATACACAGAACAACCMATTGTTGTCATTATAAACTAATAATGGCACAAGAATATTTTGATGTTCAAGAATAAACAAATTATTGCATTGTGATATATATTTTTGCTGGGATCMAAATATTATATTAAAAATACATGCACAATCACTCTTTGAAAATGCAAACTTTTCTTCAAAGCTCAAGTCGAAATATAATTTTGGCCATAGTGGATAAAATCATCATTTTCAAATTACATATGTGTTTAGTTGTAGCTCAAGAGTAAAATTGTTTAACTCGAATAACTATACAGCATTTTAACAGCTTTATTGTTATGTTAGGGAAGCAAACTATAGGTTTTTAATGAAGACACAAGGTAGCATGCCATACATAATTCTAAGTGCTTAAATTTGTCATTCAATTTAGTGAAAATAATGTAATGCAATGTCAACAGCCAAAAATCCGCCATCGATTAAGACTTTAGTGATGGTCTACCACAGTGTTTATTTCAACAAAGAGAGATATTGGTCTTGTGAGAAGCAAGTATCAAATCAAATCATCAAGAAATGTCCAGTAAATAGCTATATTCTTGAACACAAAGGACTTAGCCCAAGCAATAGCTATTGAGGGGTTATAGTCTATAGATTAAACATTGAAAAACTTCATAAAATGCAAATGAGCTCCTGGTTAATTCAATCAAAAACGTGTTTTTAGATCTTAGGTGGACTCCTACTGGGAAGGTTCATATTAAAAAAGGATCCAACTATGTATAACTATCGCATATTTACACGAATATTACAAATCCAAAAACTGACGCCAACAAAAGTTATGGGTTTCAACGGGAACCTAGGTGAGGCCCCCATACGTGGATGAAGTGAAATGGTCTTGACACCTACATTGACAAAACCACGCCATTTAACCACTACCACAAAACAGATGAACTAAGATAGCGTTGACCCTATTCCAATTAGTATTTTCGAGTCTTTATATACAACGAGAGAACGATTATGATTTTTTTTTTACACCCAAGACAGCTAAATATAAAATAGTCACGAATTCGGGGTCATTGTTATCAACCCAAACGCGAGTAACTTACGATAAAGGAAATCATTTGGTTTCGTCTAATAAGTTTTCTTTGTGGTTCATAGAATTACATTGCGTCGTAGGTTATTTGAGAATCGGGCAAGAGGATTAAGAGAGCTGAAGAGGGACATTTATTTGGGAACTACAAATAGCAACATTCAGGACACGTCACGCATCAATGAAAACAAACTGAATGTAATAATAATGGAGCAATAAAAACAACTTTTTACAGTATATAAAGTGAATAGAACACATGCAATAATTAGATGAACCAATTTATAAGGTGTAAACGAGCTTCTACTTACTGAGTTTCATCGTTGTCAAATTCCAGTTCGCCCACAGCATCTTCGTAATCTTCTCCGCCGCCTTTAGCAGTTCCCTCTTCAGTGTGGTACGGGATGCGTACTATTCCACGTGCACCCGTATTACGAGTTACACGAACCTTGACAAGCCTGTCGGCCTCTGGAACTGCCATGGAATCGCTCTCAAAGGTAAAGATACCAGGGTAATCATCATCAAGGATGACAATGGTCGCTTGTCCACCTCGGATGATTTTACCGGGTGGCCCTCGATATGTATTGCGCATAAGATCGCCATCAGGTCCAGCGATACGAACATTACCCAGTGAGACGGTGAAATGTTCGTCTTCCTCAAAGATATCATCATCAATTATAACAACTGATATAGTTTTCTCCGTTTCGCCTGGTCTGAAGCAAACAGTTCCTTCTGTTTTGTCGTAGTCGTCGCCTGCTTTGGCGGTTCCATCCTCGGTCTTGAAGTCCACGAACACAGTGTTGTTGACATCTCCTCCGGCTCGATTGATGGTCATATATACGCTTCCACAGTTTTCTTTCACCTCATACTCAACGGGGTCAAAATAAACCTTAACAACTGCAGGGTCATCGTACTCCACGTCTTGTAGCTCGAGCTTTGCATCTGCAACCGAGCTGCTTGCTTTCTCGAGCTTGTCATGTTTCATCTTAATCATATTCCCGCTTCCTACCATCTTTCGTGTTGCTTCAATTCGGTAATACGCTCTACTTTTCGGCTGCAAGCGCAAATTTTCTTGCTCAAGTAGTCGTTCAATCGTTTCATGGTCTGCGTCGGGATGTTTTTGACGTATATCTCTCAACACCTGAATAGCTTTCTCGCGTCTCTCCTCCGTTAGATCGTGCAAACTGAACTCTTGTTCGAGGTCTTGCTGTCCGAGTTCACTGAGGGCATAGGCTCTGTCATCTGCTTCAGCAATTGCACCATCGGTGTAGCCATCCTTTTTAATTTGTACACCAATGACATCGAAATCACCGGTCTGAATCACAGAAACTCCCCCTCTTTTCTGTTTCCTCTTCCTTCCTCGTAAGGCTCGGTAAAATAGGAGCTGTCGATCTGCAATATAGGCGATTCCAACAAGCAAAGGAAAGAATGCTAGCGTAAGAACACCTTCCCAAACTTCCACAATACCTTTACTGAACACGGCTAGAATTAGGTAGAGCCAAACATAAGCAAAAATAGAACAAGAAGCCGTTATAGCGAATACTCGAAGGTGCTTGATTCGACGGATTTCGCCATCAGGAATAACGTAAACACAAACGGCTATGATAATAAAGAGATTGAATGCTGCAGAGCCTACAATTGTAGAAGGTCCCAAGTCCCCTGCTTCAAATTTGTTCCCGCAAATTTCAATAACAGAGAGCAAAATTTCGGGAGCAGATGAACCCAGGGCCATTAGMGTTAAGTTGGACACAGTTTCGTTCCATATTTTGACTGTGACAACACGGTCTTTGCCTGTGACTTTGTCCTTAATTTTGATGTCTTTCTCCTTGGATGTGATTATTTCAATAGCTGACATGAAACGGTCTGAAATTATAGAAACGCCTAAGAAGAAAAATAGCAGAATAAGAAGGTACACAAACGCTCTTCCGATCCGCGCTCCCGTTGATGGTTCGCCCTTCCATACGGGTAGAATGACTCCCGGTCTGCATTCAGTACGAATAGACAAACAGTCTTCTTCACCGAGTACGCTTTCTTGAAGAAATCCCAACCAAACAAAACATACGATTCCAAGGCGTATCGAAAAATCTTGTAAACCAAACATATTCCGTTCTTCTGCGAGACAGACCCTTTAGTGATTTTCTGCTTTCAAGTGTTCATTCGCGGCCAGAAAATATTTTGTTGTTGTTAAATTCTCTTTTACGACGCTGTGTTTAAATGCCACATAGGCTATCTGACGATGTTTTGATGTTTCAAACGCGTTCGCTGGAAGAGTAAAAGGCACAGAGACGGCTTTTCACATTCAAATGAGTTTTAGTAGGCCAAGCAGCTGTGTTCATTCTTACTGGTCGACAATAAGCGACAAAGCAGTAAGCACTACTATAACCCCACAAATAACGATTATGCAAATCACGTCCAAGGCGTTACCGTCCAGTGCGCACGCGTGCAACTTTTGTTTATGAAGCATTCAGACGATGAAAACTGTGGACTTTAGAACTAATTCTCGGCGAATGATTTTACTTTTTTCGCAACTTTGGGATATTCCTGGGGTGTCATGATAACAAATGCAAAGAAATTGGGCTCATAAATTAAGAATATACAACAGTTCTGCCAAACATAAAAATAACAAAATTATCTCGTTTAACACCCCCAGTGAACAATAGTGTACAACACGGAACGCCTTGGGAACAGGGACGTTCGGCTATTGTTAATTTGACTTATTCGTCACAGCACTTATCGATTTTGTACTGTTTAAGTATAGACGATAGGGAAAGCGACTTGTAATTTGGAAACTGGATATCGCATTCTAGAAAGAACTCTGCAAGAGAACACTCCAGGCATTATCGACTAGGTGCTCGCAATTAGTGGTAACAATTTAGTCGAGAAGAAACGGCAGACAATCTAATGATGGTCCGATGGCTGAATGACATGCAATGATACGATCATCTCCAAAGCACTTGATCAACCTTATTCGATGTTATAAAAATGATTTTGTTCGTTCGGGAAAAAAAATCAATTTCAACACCGTTTTTGGACCTACTGAAGTGACACTTTGGACAATAGGCGATTGGATGCTGTGAAACTTGTCCGCAACAATAGGAAAATTCCAAATTAGAAAGCTCTGCTAACTCGTTTATTCTTTCTGCTAATAAAAAGACTTTAGCGTAAACAATGACTCGGACAAAGGTTAAGCTCATTGGTGTTTCTATGGAAAGTTTAAGGTCCATCTACTCTGGGCTGCTTCTTCTGGAAAACCTTGAAAAGTTAAAAAAACATCCAAATTCTTCGTTTTCTCAATGAAAACATGAATGTCATTGCGATTTATGGTCAATAATTTGAATATTATAATCTTGCTTGTTAAAAGCATTTATTGTTGATTTGATTAACACCCCTATAAAGCGAATACATATAGGAACCTTTAATTCCAATTCGAAGCAAATACCAATTTATGTAAGGTATTAAAAAATACCGATTTACTCAGTAATTCCATTTTGATGTCCAGCATTGGGATTATGGTTGGTTACTCCAGTTAGCAAGGATATTCAACTATGTAAATTTTTTTCTTATTTTTAAAACTTAAACATGGATTCTACATGAATATTCATTTGCAAAAATAGTTAAAACAGTGACCTGAGCCGTAGTAGTTCCCTCAGATTTTATTCTTTTTTAAAAAATCTGCATGCTAGACACTACATTGCTGTGGAAAAGCACTCTCTATTGTTGCTGGCCAAATATACAACTTGAACAATCATCTCAGAAGCTTACCGGATATCGAAAAAAGCCCTCAAAGAAAGGCTTATGGTGGATTTACATATTTTGCGAATCAAATTAAGGAGAGCTTTCATACATTGATAGTACCAACATAACGAACATAGTATATAAATTATCATGACTCTAGTTATCTTGTTTTTACAAAGCGCAAATTCAAATTAGTAATTGCCAGGGCTAATAGGCTAAGATAAGCGGGTCAATGCTTCTCTAGTTTGTCTGCCTTTGTAAATTTTATGTTTGGTCAGAGCCAGTATTATTTCTATGGCCGGAGGCCTCCTTCGGGCTAAAACAAACATTACACATTTCTTTTTCCGCTATTTGCAAATTCGAGAGGAAAGTTATTGATATTATTATAAGTGCACTTCCTGCCTTCGACTTCACATCAAATAAACGCTTTTAACTTGCTAGGAGAGGAGAGAAAACCAGAGAAAAGGACCTTCAGAATTCCAATTCAAGCCAAAAACTGTAATTTCGGGTAAACAGTTTTCCATGTAACTCCTGGTGTTTCTTGATAAATGTCTGACTGTTTTAGTAATATTTTTATATTAAGTTTGAGTTGCGTGTTTTTGTTTTTTACACTAAGAGGCCCTTTTGTAATATCAATCAACAAAATTTTCGGAAAGACAAAAATACCCTCGAATTTCATGAAAAGCGCACATATGTCTAAACCCTCGGATTATATTGCAAGTTGGGTAACTTCATCACTCACTGAAACCCCCTTTTAATCAAGAAACTAGGAACAGCTAGCCGACTGGCATGAAATATTCCATTGTAAGTCCGAAACCAGCTCCTTTTAGAACACAATTGAGCAAAACTGTTGAAGTTGTTCAGAAGCTAATCGAGGACACTTATCTCGCATGCCATGTCGGGATTGGAATGTGGATTTTTCCAATATGGAAGCTTCTAGATCCTTGGCAATGTTTTCTGTAGTAATAATTGACAAATCTATACATAAATCAACACCTGAAAATAGAAAAACTGTTCTCTAATTCAAAGGTGCTAGGTAATTGTTATTATATAAAGTTAATACTTTTATTTTTTTTCCTAAAAAGATGGCACACAATGTAAGTGAAACGTTCCAAGTTATGTTATGTTCAGTTATGCTCTGTGTAAAATGTAGGTGCAGAAAGTGAGTATTAATGTTTAAACAACAAAAAACAACATAATATGGAACTTGTGGTTTGTCTTTGTACACACGATTAGTAAAGATATCAAATTTTAATTTGGTTCAGACAGCCGTCTGCCTCATCGTGCAAAACTGTGATATTCCTTCATGTGGTTTAAGTTGGGTAATTTTACTAAGTGTACTTGGTTAAGAGTGAATAGTGCTGAAACAGGGAGTTTTCTGCACTTGTCGACCCCCCGTGTCAGCTGTCGATTAACCCTTGTTATGAAAAAATCTGCATCGATTATCTTGTCGCAATGAGATGGCTGATGAGCTGCGGATCTGTTCTGCCTCTGCGCAATTTCGTGATTAATCCTCAGTTAAAAAAGATGGCTTCAGTTCGACCAAAGATGCGTGCATGAGAAACAATATTGCGTTATCAACCAATAAGTCGCAACCAGCAGATAATAGCACCATGTAAAACATGTAGAATGATCGTTATCTGCGGAAAAACATCTATTCAGTCGTGTTGTGAAGTCTTTCTTTTTATCATGTACCATGACATTGCGCTGTATAAACTTACAAGCTTTATGATTGATATTTTAAAGACAGATGTCTGGATATTGCCCAGTATTGGTTGATTATAATCGGAGTATGATGGCGTCACTGCTAATATATTCGCTTAATAATTTAGTTCTTCACTTTCACAATTCCTTTACCAGTGTCCATCCAATCGCGCTATCGTTATAATTCAGACGCCCTCATTTATCTGATTCGTTCAATTCATGATCTATGTATTCGTTGATTTTTTTTCTTCCGTCCTCTGAGGAGCATTTATGATGAGTCTATCAATCATCCAGCCCGTTCGTTGATTATCTTTCATTTATCGAGTAATTTGGATTTATTTGTCGATTACAATTCATCCAATCCATTCATTTGGTCATCACTGGAGACTAATGAATCCTTGATAGTTTAGTGTTATATACGTTCAACCATTCATTTATTCAATCTTTCTTTCAATGCCTCATTTGTTCATTTATCCTGGCTTGTTACGATCAAGATTATTCAATATCGATCATATTCAATCCTTCGCGGTCATTCCGATTAGTTATTGTTCTCCTTGACGTCATTCATTCATTTTTATTCCGTCATTCATTCATTTTTATTCATCCATTCCATTATGAATGATATGCATGCATTTGAGAAAATTCTGACAGCCTAAATATTAGGAAATATTGCTAAGTGATGCTTAAAAATTTAGCCTTTTTTTTATTTGTCGTCACACTTCAAATTATGATTGAATAGAAATAAAATGAAAATGTGCATGGAAAGGAATGTCAAATAAAGCAAGCAAACCGTCTACACTATAGAAATACTTAATTTCTAGTAGATATTTTAAGAAGCCATCAACCTCTTCATCAGATATTGGAAAATTTACATAAATCTTTGCCTAACTCGAAGAGTGATCATAAAATCCGGAAATGACATCATCATCTGATATGACTAAATGAAATGTAGTGCAATATAATTGACGTAAATATCATTACAGCCATTTCCAAAAAATGTCAAATGCTGATTGGATACTGTGATACTGGATTCCATTACCGAAATGCATTGTCATTGGAGTCCATTGGTGTTAGACGGGATTCCATTACCGAAATGCATTGTCATTGGAGTCCATTGGTGTTAGACGGGATCCATTACCGAAATGCATTGTCATTGGAGTCCATTGGTGTTAGTGTGAAGTCTTTAAACCCGTGAAACGACAAAATTTGACTGTTCAAGTGTGATAGTCAAATAGGCACAAAAAGTGTATGATCTATTTCACGGGACAAGATGACAATCAGATTCATTCTTAACTTTTTTATAAACGACGCAGTGCTACCATGGCAACTGTGAAACACTGAAATCCCCATTTAGCTGTGATACGACAACGCATTTCCGGGCAAAGTTCACCTCGCCATAAATCATTTTTGTTCTGTCAGAAGAATCAATATCTATATTCATCCATTAGTAGAACGAAAACTTCAATGCAAAATTATTGAAAAAATCTAGAAAAAATGCATTAATTAAGAAGCTAAACCAGCATTTTCTGAAGTATCTGTATATGGCAAAGAAAAAAGAGTTAAGTGTTTGAGCAGGCGATGTAAGTAACTCAAACCAGTTGGCAATATAATAACAATAATAATAATATTTTAATAATTTCTATAGCGATCAACAGCGCTTTGCAATCGTTATAATTAATAAGAATATTATACTGCAATAAAGCGTGGTAGTCAAATAGACACAAAATTACCAATTAGAGTATAGTTAAGGTGTGTTAGTGTTATCGAGTGAAGTAAAGTCATTAAACCCGTGAAACAAAACTTGATAAAGTGTGATAGTCAAATGAGACCAACGCCGTAGCCAGAGGAAAATGTTAGCCGAGGCACTTAACGCGACCGGCGAAATTTTGAAATTCAGACACTCGGAAACTTGATTTCCAGCGTTTTGCCA